AACGCCGGGCCTGAAAAAGGGCCAGCCGAATGGCAATTTTGGCCCCATTATATCCTATGGGCCATTGAAGTCAATGGTGAAAAGATAGGGTATATTCTGAAGGCTGGAGGAAAGGGGGTTTGAGGGAGAGGCTCCAAACTTACAGAGTAGCTGCTGGAACCTCTCCCCAAGATACCAACCAAGTTTGAAGATCATTGGACCTGGGGGTCCAATTCTACAGGCCCCCAAACAGCTTGCCCCTATCCCCTCCATTGTTCTCTATGGTGGGAAAAAAGTAACTTGGATGAATTTGACACATGTATAGAAAGCTCTGTGTAGCATGTACCAGAAGTACAAGCTGGGTTTTGAAGAAGTAGAGGAACTAGGGATCACATTACCAACATTCGCTGGATTATGGAGAAAGCAAGGGAGTACCAGAAAAACATCTACTTCTGCTTCATTGACTACACTAAAGCATTTGATTGTGTGCATCGCAACAAACTATGGCAAGTCCTTAAAGAGATGGGAGTACCAGACCACCTCACATGTCTCTTGAGAAACCTGTATAAGGGTCAAGAAGCGACAGTTAGAACCAGATATGGAACAACTGATTGGTGTAGCATAGGAAAAAGAGCACAACAAGGAGGTATATTTTCAACTTGCTTATTTACTTTATATGCAGAGTACATCATGCAAAATGCTGGCCTGGATGAATCATAAGTGGGAATTAAGATTGCTGGGGAAAAGATCAACAACTTCAGATATGCAGACGATAACACTCTAATGGAAAAAAGTGAAGAGGACCTAAAGAGCCTTTTGTTCAGGGTGAAAGAGGAGAGCCCAAAAGTTGGCTTGAAACTCAACGTCAACAAAACTAAGATCATGGCATCCAGCCCCATCACTCCTTGGCAAATAGAAGGGGAAGTCATGGAAGCAGTGACAGAATTCACGTTCCTGGGATCCAAGATCACTGCAGACGGTGACTACAGCCATGAAATTAAAAGACGCCTGCTCCTTGGGAGGAAAGCGATGGCAAACCTAGGCAGCATAATAAAAAGTAGGGACATCATCACCCTTCCAACAAAAGTCCATATGGTCAAAGCAATGGTATTCCCAGTAGTACTGTATGGCTGTGAGAGTTGGATTATAAGGAAAGCCGAGCTCTGAAGAATAGATTATTTTGAATTATGGTGCTGGAGAAGACTCTTGAGAGTCCCTTGAACTGCAAGGAGATTGAATCAGTCAATCCTTAAAGAAATCAACCCTGACTGTTCCCTGAAAGGCCAGATACTGAAGCTGAAGCTCAAATACTTTGGCCACCAAATGAGAAGGGAGCACTCACTGGAGAAGACCCTGATGCTGGGAAAGATTGAAGGTAAAAGAAGAAGGGGACAGCAAAGGATGAGATGGTTAGACAGTGTTATCGCTGCAACGAACATGAAGTTAAGCAAACTCTGGAGCACGATGGAAGGCAGGAGGGCCTGGCGTGATGTGGTCCATGGTCCATGGGGTCGCAAAGAGTCGGACTCGACTGTGCGACTGAAGAACAACAACAAGAAGAAGCATTTAACTGTTTAACAAAGGTAAGCTTGCAGCGACTGACAAAATAGTTTTGTAACTGCATACTTGACTTTTCTCCAGTTGCTAAGGAATCATGTGCTGCTTTTGAGTAGAAAACACTGTGATGTGTGTGAAAATACTAGTACCTGGGAAAAGTTTATTTGCAAGAAATTTGGCATCATACAGAACTTGGAAAGCCAGGAGAGATCACAAGGCATAGTTCCTGGATATAGACAGGTATATTGCTTGGGGTTCATGTGCATATATCTGTTGTGTCCAGCATAAGACACATTGTTAGAGAAATGTTTCCATTTTGGACCGCTAAATGTGATGGAAAACATGATAAAACAAATCTTATCTAGAGATACTACTGTACAGTGTAGTATATGGTGACGATATAGCACTTATGTTGAAGGATATAGCAGCAGGTTTGCCTTTTATGCAAATACTGGATCTTAGTAAATTTATTTTGCAGTACTGCCAATGAACATTTCTTCTATTGTACCTGGATAGTGGTAAATGTATTGAAGCAACCATATTATATGGTGAGAAAAAAACACTAATGGTTAGTGATTTTACTTAGAAATTGTTGATATTGCAAATTGTATAATTGTCAAGTAGGCAAGAAGTGTGTGTTGGGGCACGATAGCTCCAAGCATCCAGTGTAAGGTTTCTTCATTTGTTGTGGTGTATGTGTGTTAATGATTGGTATGTGTGCCAGACGTGAGCAAATGTGAAGCAGCATCTACTTGGAATCTATTCCTGTTGCTATTCTGTGAGTAGTGTGGATGCTCTATTGTGGCCCTTTTTAGACATCTTTGACTGCTCTTTAAGAGTTTCTGTTGAAAAGTAGGGTATAAATTTAAAAACAAAAAGCATATTATGTGCAGGATGCTGTTTAACAGAATGACATGTGAACTGTTTTGCTGGATTGTACCAACCATTCATCTTGTCTAGTGCACTCTCTCCTCCTTGGAAGCTCACAAACAGAGCAAGATGGAGATCATTATTCTCAGTTACTTTGCCCCAGTATTCAATAGTCAGAAGTATTTTATCTCTGAATTTAGAGGTTCCATTGCACATTACAGGTAATAGCCATTGATAGACAGAGACATTGTGTATCCATATAACTGATTGCCATACTGGCAAAAACATAAGAGAAGCCATGTGGCCCATCGAGTCCAACACTGTGTGTCACACAGTGGCCAAAAATACAATGTGCCATCAGGAGATCCACCAGCAGAGCCAGAACTCCAGTGTTGCCCCCCAGGGATGAAGAATACAGAGCATCAGTACCCCAGACATAGAAGAAGAGGAGGAGGAGGAGGAGATTGGATTTATACCCTGCCCTTCACTACCCAAAGGTGTCTCAGAGCGGCTTACAAACTCCTTTCCCTTCCCCTCCCCACAACAGACACCCTGTGAGGTAGGTGGGGCTGAGAGAGCTCTTGACAGAAACTGCTCTTTTTCAAGAACAGCT